GGGTTGATTAAACGGCATATTTTTCAAATTTCATTCCTTTATAACTTTTTCATTGATTGACGCATTTCAACGTAATTTACATGTTACCCATTTGAAAATGTCACAAATCTAGTGGTGTAGTGAGATTTTTTCTAAAAAAATCGCTAGTAATTTTTTTAGATTTTTGACCTTGAAAAATCAGATTAGTTGGCCCTGGAAATGGAGATTTATTCATGATATTTGGTGTCCTAATAGACTTTTTGAATATCTACCTAGCAAAAAAAAATCATTCCACTCGGTTGAAAAATGTAAGTTTTATAAGGGTGCTTCCATCTTAAATGGGTCACACTGTATATCTCCAGCATGGATATGAAATGCTAAATCTGCCGAAATCGGAAACAAATCAGGTATGCGTCTCAACCCAAATAACCAACCATAACAATGTTGTTCATTCTTGATGACGTCCAGTACATCCTTTTTAGTTCCTATAGGAGCTAAAGTTCAACTTTAACTCCTAGGAACTAAAATCCAACTTTAGTGTCAGTAATAGAAACGTCAATTTAAGAGCTAATTTTGGTATCAAAATGGACGACTTTTGTGTCGGTTGCAGAAAAACGTCATTGAAGAGCTAATTTTGGTATTAAGATGGACGACGTTTGTGTCAGTTGCAGAAAAATGAATTCGAAAATATATATGGAGGAAAACCCGGGAAAAGACAACATCAAAAGGTGTCCACGAAAATTGCTGTATTGTTGAGGCATACGCTCGTGTCACTGTCGTATGATTGAGTGGAAAGAAGTATTCAATTTAGCCTCTTTTTTCGGAGATATCGTGTTTCTCTACAATGCACTTCTCATTCCTCGTTTTGGGAAACGCCACGGCACTCTTGATCGATTGCCCTCTGGCACACAATAAATCTAATTTGATATTCGTTTTATAGTTATTCGATTTTATAGGCGGGTTCCAATGCAATATACGATATGAATTTTGATTTATAAGTTCATTTTCTATGAGCGAATTTCAATAATGAAACCGTTTCTTGGATATTCAGACACTTTGGGAATCAAGGGAATACGGAAGTGTATAGTTTTGTTGCACGATTAATTTTGATAGATATACACCAAATTTGCATTTCTCCGAGTGTTTGATTTTTTTGATATAATAATAAATACCGGCTGTCTGTAGGTTGATAGAGAAGGTGGTAAATTCATTATTCCAGATTTTTTGGAATTTTCTCTTCTCGTTTCTATATAAAATAAAAATATGAATATTATTTCAATATTCGTGTAGTATGGACAAATCAGATGATTTGCCCCAAATCGTCAGTGCGTTTGAAGAGTTTTCCTATATCAGAGAGCCTGAAAGAAAAATTCACTAGCTTGTCGGTGACAATTTGTATTGAAAAAAGTTTGGAGAAGAGGAATGAAGGTATACAGAACAAATATATCAAATTTTCACTTAGCTTTGGACGTTTCGGGAACGAATCTGCTAAGGAAAAATTTGAAATATTTTTTCTACATACCTTTGTTCCTCTTCTCCAAACTTTATTCAATACAAATTGTCACTGACAAGCTAGTGAATTTGTATCTTTTAGGCTCTCTGATAGGAAAATTCCTCAAACGCAGTGATATTTTGGGGCAAATCATCTGATTTGTCCTTACTACACGTATATTAAAATAATATTTATATTTTTTTCTACTCACATAACTAAAATGGCATTCAGCGTACGGATATGTACCACGCTAAATGATCGATTAATCACGGATTGACGATCTGTGATTTATTCAAAATATTAAACACGTTACCATGGCAACACGATTTCTTAAACACATTACCATGGCAACACAGTTCATTAAACACAGCTTCAGTAATTTGAGACATATCTGGCCTGTCAATTGTATTAACTGTCAACTGTTATTTTCAAATTTTGTATCAGAATTATTCAAACAATATTCGTTTGTATCAGAATTCTTCATTGTGAATATATGCGAAATGTAGACGAGTGAAATGGAAGAGAATGTTCTGGTACTTGTGTATCTCCAAGAAGTGTAAAAATGAAGCATCCATCTTTGAGAACAATTTGTTCATTCTGCGCTAAGCATGACAATAAACGTGAATCAAAGGTTAGTAAGCAATGGACTGGACACATCTACAACCAATATCACTTATACGTGACTCGCTGGTTGCATGCAGTTGCATGTATTATGTTCTCAATTCCCATTCCTTTCGAATTATTTTGTAGATTAGCAGGAATAGCAGGTATGTTAATGTAATTTTCGGAGTTCGTAGAAAAAGCATAGTATGTAACGCGTTTATAAACTCTTCTAGACACTCGTTTATTAAACACTCGCTCCGCTCTGCTCCGCTCGTGCTTAAAATACTCGTTACTAAAAAGACGTTTATAACACTTGTTACATAATATACTATTATTTTATAGAAACGAGGAGAGAAAATCCCGAAAAATCTGGAATGATCGATCGATGCTTAATCTTTCGGAGGTTAATCTTGGTTAATCTTTCTCTATAATTATACTGTGTATCTCTATTGAAATTTGATCAAAATGCAGCTAACGCGACTGTAATGATATACGATTTTCATCGATTTTATTTGTGAAAATTGACTTTTCTGTCACGTCAATTGGTTGATTCCAACATTTACAATGAAAATGCAAGAATTTTTTGAAAGGAATGGCGATCGCATCAATTCTTAGGTTTAACATTTTCTGACGTTTTCGTTGTTTCAACCAATAGCGATCTGTTATTTTAGCCAATCATTCGGTATTATGATAACACTGCGAAGTCCTCAATAATTTACATATACTGACAAAAAAAACAATAAATAAAAAGTAAAGACTCAACTGCGTTAATTCTCTCATTCATATAGGTATGTAAGTGTGATGATTGAATCAATGATAAATAATCACTGGACTGAATAAAACCTATTTCCTTGATAAACAATAATATATATGTCGGCGCGTCAAACAGTGAAATTTTTTTCACTAAAAACAATGATTGATTCTTAATAAGGATCACTTGATAAAACATACCTGTACATATTTTCATCATCATGAAAGACCGCGGAAAATCCAATTATGATTTTTTTGCATACATGATCAGAAAATGTAGTACTGTGGTACTTTCGGTAAGAACTAATGACAAATTATCATTGAGGACTAATTGGAATATAGTCATCTCGACTATTTTTTTAACTCGGCTACGCCTCGTCAAAAAAATCAGATCTCGATCACCAAAGTAGCATTCCACGCTCTAGATACAAAAATACCTATTACCAATTAAAACATGATAATAATTCATTTTATGATGATAAAAATCGGAACAGGTATATTTGAGTGATCTTGATTGTGAATCCGTCATTACTTTTTTCTACAAGCGTGCGTGATTCACCCTATACCCGCACGCAATTTAGTTTGGGAAGTGTCATTTTCCCGCACTAGGGCGGGAAAACAAAGAGATGATAAAATCGCTAGTAATATAAGTGGTTGGTGATGGAATATAAAAGTTTAAGTTTGTTTGTTGCAGTATTAAGTATGTATGTTCAGAATCTTCCATCAAATTGCACTATTCATTATGAAAATTAAGAAATATTGAGAAATAAAAATTGATTATTTTAAAAATCCCCCTATAGATTTGGATTGATCTGACGGAAAACGTCAATTTGTCATGCCAATCAAACCTCAAATAAGTTTGAAATTGTCGAAGTGACAGACACAGCGTTACTGTCATTTTCGATTCAGTGGAAATGCCACAATGTGATCAAAAACTTCTAGCTATAGGGATTTGATACAGATGCGTTATAACCAACGAAGTCTTAAGAAAGGTATGAGAAGCTATACACGCGTTTTATTGAATGGTGCAACAATAAAGAAATGAAAAAACCGAATGAAGAATAGGTATTGTTGGCTCATTTCATAAAAGTGTCTGGAACCTAGAGACCAAACTCCTAATGGGCCTGCTGGCTTCCGCAATGAACCAACATAATTCGTCAAACTGTAAGTTCACTGTAAGTTCACTTTAAGTTCACAATACTGATAATTAATAGATAGAGAATATATATCTCTTGTTAGTTGTTCCTATTTGCTTGAATAATTAATTGAACGATTCATTCAATTTCCTACGCTTGTAGAAAAAATATTGTTCCTAACTCATAAAAAAAAAGAAAAAAAATGCGGAAAGTTTCTTTCCCGTACTCGACTGCTTGCCCGAACTCCGCTTCGCGTCGTTCGTGTCAACGGCAGTCACGTGCGGGAAAGAATCACTTTCCGCACTTGTTAGGAAAATTAATATTTCAGTAAAGAATTATGATGGTACATTTTGCCTACTTATCATTTTGATTCTTTTTTTTAGATTCATTGTATATTTGAATGATGAAAATCAGTAAAGATATGTTTGAAGTATTCCTCAATATATAGTGAGTTGTCATTAGTTCTTTCCGAAAATACCAGTTCACACTTTCTGATCACAAATATTGAAAAAAAAAATGATTTCAAGTGATTCTGATTCAGAATCCATCATTATTTTTAGTAAAGAATCCCTAGTAGTAATTTTTGGAATATGGGTGAATGAAATCGGTTGCAGTTAGCCACAATCACAGTACAAGAATAAAATAACTCTTTTGTTGGATGTACATTTCAAATACCTATTCAACAAGACAAAATTTTTCGAAATCGATCTCATAATAACGATTTCACAGTGGTGGTAGGTCCTTTGAAGTGATCACACTATATACACGGTATTGGTATTGTAATGATCGAAAAATCTTTCCCCCTATCAGAAATGTCCTACTATCGCCTAAAATAGGATTACATCATATTTACCTGCAAACCGCTATCAACCTCTATAAGTGGTTAGGTAAGAATCATATATCCATAATCCGAAACTAAATAAAAAAAAGACAACCATGAAAAAGCGACCAAATACGACACAAATCCTTCGCAATACCCACCCCCTGACAACCCCATTGACCATAAGGCCCAAAATCCAGCGAAATATCACTTTCATTCAATGACTTCCACCCAACAAAAGAGGATAGTTATTGTATCCCCTCTAGTCAATATAGGACTGCCCATTCACCCTACTGCTATATACCCTTGTTTATCTAGAAGCTGTTTAGTCAAACAAGCTCGAGTGGCCAAAATGCACCTAAACAATATATACCCTTTCGATGCCAAATCCACCGACAACAAGTGCTCTAGAATTTTCCGGCCGTGGGATGCTAGTGCTAGTGCTAGCTCCAGCGATAGCTCTCAAGATAGCACCATTTCCACAACAACTCAAGAACACAAGTGTGCCATCGCAAGTGTTAAACTCGAGGACCAAAGAAGTTTCAGACCGCTCCAAGACAAGCTAGCTTCCCCAAATAAGCACCTACAGCCTTTGGAGTACTGCGCAGATTTATACCCAGCTGTGTACCCTGAGCTTCTGCATACTAATTTAGCTCTGGCTCAGTCACTGGGCTTGGCTGCCGGTGATCCTTTGGTGATGGAGACCATGGCTCAGGGGTTTGCTTTTGAGGAGTATGCCAGAGTTCTGAGCCAGGAGCATCAGGCGAAGATTCTGGCTGCTAAGAAGCAGAGGCCTAAGAAGTATAAGTGTCCGCACTGCGATGTGGGGTTTTCCAATAATGGACAGTTGAAGGGGCATATCAGGATACATACAGGTTAGTGGTCTGGCTTTGCGAAGAAATGGCGCGTATCAAATCAGCGCGTTACTAAAGAGAGCTGTACCAAAACAAAAGTTGCGCGTTCTGAAATAGCGCTGATTCCATGATGATTAGAAATCATGGATAGCACGGAATGATACTGATTTCCCACGGGAATGAAGTTTATGCGAATGCTGCAATCATTCGAGAGGAAAATCAGCATTCCGTGCGAGTTCAACACTATAATTTGTCTACGGCTGTCAAAAAATAACAGCGACATTTTTAAATACTGTCTGTAGGTTAATCGAGGAGGTGGTACATTCATTTTACTTGGTTCTTTGGGATTTTCTCTCCTCGTTTCTATAAAATAAAAGTATTCGTATTATTTCAATATATTTGTAGAGGGACAAATCAGATGATTTGCCCCAAAATGTCACTGCGTTTAACAAATTTTTCTATCAGGGAGTCTAAAAGAAAAATCCAGTAGCTTGTCAGTGACAATTTGTTCGAAAAAATTTTTGAAGGAAAGAAATATAGATATATTGAGAAAATATCGAATTTGTACTTATCTTTGGACGTTTCGGGACCGATTCTGCTCCCGTTCTCAACATGTAAATGCAAATTATTTTTCTTTGAAATTTTTGCTGCGTATAGTTTGACACTTTTCAATGTCATACTGATGTTGGCATATGAATGAGTGATTTTAGTCTACAAATGAGTTACAGGATGTTTTTATTAATTGATCTTGAATCTACCATTTTCATGTTCAGGAATCCGCTTGCATTCTTCTAAACGGAGACAATAGCATTGCTTCCTGTTCAGTTGATATTGATAGAACATGGTATTCACAACTGAAAACTGAACATGAAAATGGTTTAAAAAAAAAAAAAAGATTCAAGATCAATTAATAAAAACATCCTGTAACTCATTTGTAGACTAAAATCACTCATTCATATGCCAACATCAGTATGACATTGAAAAGTGTCAAAGTATACGCATCAAAAATTTCAAAGAAAAATAATTTGCATTTACATGTTGAGAACGGGAGCAGAATCGGTCCCGAAACGTCCAAAGATAAGTACAAATTCGATATTTTTTCAATATATCTATATTTCTTTCCTTCAAAAATTTTTTCAAACAAATTGTCACTGACAAGCTACTGGATTTTTCTTTTAGACTCCCTGATAGAAAAATTTGTTAAACGCAGTGACATTTTGGGGCAAATCATCTGATTTGTCCCTCTACAAATATATTGAAATAATACGAATACTTTTATTTTATAGAAACGAGGAGAGAAAATCCCAAAGAACCAAGTAAAATGAGCGACATTTTTGATTTCTTCGTCTTGTAGCCATCTGATTTCCTCTCAAGTGATGCTCATCTATTACACAGAGCTGTCATTGCTTGACATTTGACATTTCCTGGGAGATTAGATTTTTCTGTAGTAATAACACAATGGAGTCATTGTGAGACGGATACGGACATAGAATAGAAGACAAAAAAAGTACCTCATTGATGTATCGGGTACAGTAAAACAAGAGCAATTTTTTGTTATAGACGTAGAAAAAAATCATATTCAATTCATCTCTTTATTGGTCTATAACAAACAAATCTTCGACCATTGAAATTAAATAACCAAATTGTTGGCAATAGACTGCAAGTAATTTTCAATTTGGTCGAAGTTATAATTTCTCGCAAATTTTTTAGATCTTCTGTTGAACTGCACATACTTGCTAGTATTCCCCTTCTCATGTTTGAAGCAGCATTTGAAGCGTGTGAAGAAAATTCAGCTCATTCTGTTATTTCTTCAGATGAATAATCAATTCATGGAGCGATAGATGGTGCCAAAGAGTTACTTGTTCTGGACATATTTTTTGTATGTGTTCAAATAAATTCCAAATAGAAACAGGAAAAGAAGCTCTCAATTCTATTAGTATTCAACGTAATTTGTTCACTGATTACATACGATAGGTGACTGTTGTCAAATTGGAACATGACTGACGTATCTATGGTACTATTCGATAATTTCTTTTTCACTGAAACGTCCACAACGACTGAATCACTTTATAAGTCGGATAATCAGTCACTGATAGAAAGGTAAAATGGCTGTTTTATTGGTTGCAGAGTCTAGTGGTCCTTTAACTCTGAGCAGTTTTTTCAGAGGCTTACTTTTTTGTACCGATTTTGTGGCCTAGTGTTGCATTTAACGCACTTGTGAAGAAAATGCGATTTTCCACGCCATATTCGCAACTTTAACTGATTAAATTATGAAAATGCAGCACATAAAGTGTCTTTCAAAAAATTTGTATCATCAAGGGAAAACTTCTGATGAAGTACTTCCCGGACTAGGCCGGGAAGTATTACACCGTTGTTGTCACTGTAACAATGAAAATCTTGGTAGATATGGTTTTGATAAATGCAGATGATAATTACCATAGCAGTGAAATATCGGCTGACAGCTATCTGACATGAAATTAGTTGACATTTGGATTTTTGAAAGATTAATTGCAATAATCGCAATAAATTATCGAAAGCAGCAGAGATAGTGAGTTTGAAAATGTCCATACAAAATTTCCATAATGTAGCAGTTAGAAGGTATAGGTATTCTGTTCAAATTTCAGTATTTGATACAAAAACGAATTAACATTTTATTCCACAAAGAAATATAATATGGTAATGTGTCTCATTGAATTGTTATTCTTACTTATGGTTGGTTAATATAACAGAAGTTTCGCTGAAGTATCAAGAATCAAAGTTCGAAATCAGGATAAAAACAAATTCTCTCTCTCAATGTTTTCGAAATTCAAACAAATAAGCCTATTTTCAGAAATTTATTTGGGAAAAATGTAACTTAAAATGTAGCAGACGTTACGTGAACCCAATAACCAAGTAGGTCCTTTTTCACTTTCTCGAAATCAAAACGTAACGCCCAAGTCAAATTTCAAAATGAACCATCATACTTTTTGAAGAGGAAAACTTTGATTGTTCGTTTGTTTGTATTGAATATGCTACGAAACTACTGTACCGATTAGAACAATTCTTCCACGATTAGAAGCCAACATTATTCCTGATGAACATGGGCTACTATTTACCGCGAAAAATGCTTCATCTGACGAATTAGGATTAATAAGGACCTATAAAGGTTAATGTCCCTCGTGCTCTTCCTGGACTTGAACTAAACAATATCAACATGTATTCATGTATTTTTGAAACATTTTCACAATAACCTATTAGGAAACTATTTTGTCAAATGTATGTCTGTTCCTAATTCCGTTTGTACCATGATGATATCGTCGATTACTAATTTTTAGACCTATTTGTAAATATTTGACGAGTAAGTAATCTACACTTTCTGATTTGTCTTTTTGAAATTTCATAAATGTTACTTACTTACAGAAGAGCTCTGATGATGGCTTTTCAGCTGAAAGCGCTTTGCGATTTTATAATAAATTCCTCACGAAATCTTTTCATTTCATTAATAGCAACTCTTTCCTTCTTTATAGGAGAACGTCCATTCAAATGCGAAGAAAAAGAATGCGGTAAAACCTTCACCAGAAACGAAGAGCTCACTCGTCACAAAAGGATCCACTCGGGACTTCGTCCCTTTCCGTGTACACACTGTGGAAAGCGTTTTGGCAGGAAAGACCATTTAAAAAAACATTCTCGCACGCACTTTCAGCCCAGAGGACTCTATGCGGTGCCGGTAATGTTGCCTTACGACACTTGGGCGTCGTCTTCAAACGCCTACCCATTCGTACCTATGATGTACTGAAGAGAAATAGGATCTTTATGATTCAGGTGATTTCTTGGTCAGGATGATGATTGCAACGTGATTTGAGATGGAGAACATGCAAATTCTCCGTAGAAGTCCCAACAACTTTTTCACATGTCAAGACCCAATTATCATACCACTCAGTACCGGTAATGTTGCCTTACGACACTTGGGTATCGTCATCTATCGCCTACCCATTCTTACCTATGATAAACTGAAGAGAACTGGACTGTTTGTGATTCAGGTGATTTTTTGGTCAGGATGATGATTGCAACGTGATTTGAGATGGAGTACATGCAAATTCTCCATAGAAGTTCCAAAAATTTTTTCACATGTCATGTGTTAAGGGGGAACAACTGAGAAGCTGCTTAAATAATATCCACGTCTCAATTATCAAGTTTATATTCTAGCACAATAACACCTTTACAGGTCTCTAGTCTCAACTCTACTGGTCATCCTCACTATTCCCTGTCACCCTCTCTTATCTAGCTTATGTAACTCCTTAATCATGCATTCAATATCTCTTAGTCATAAAACCAGCACCCGTCGATATTCTAAACATAATACGGGGTGATGGTACTGAATCACACAACATATATAATAATAATGATAATATAATAATAATGATAATATAATACTATAGTGATTAATGTAATTTGGTGGGTATCTCTGGAGTGTTTCTAACACATGACTTAATTATCATACTATGCAGTACACTTGGGTATTTGTGCCTATGATGTACTGAAGATAACTGGACTGTTTGTGATTGACAGAAATTATTTGAGTCTTGGTTCGGTAAATTTTTGGCTCCAGCTACGTGATTTGATATGTTGAGCACGAATTCCAAATCAATGTGTGCTCACATGTAGCTTTTGAGATATTCTCCATAGGAGTTTCAATATAGAGCTTTTATTTTCCAATTTTTTCACAAGACATACCCAACTAATCTACCTTTGTCATAATTAATCTCAATTCAGACTCAAAATAAACTATTTTTATTTCTGTTATTTGTATGAAAATATTTTTGTGAATCATTTGTTATTATAATTATATGATTTTGATTATGGATTCATGTTCTGAGCATAAAAAACATTGTATTGATGAAACTTTCTAAAGAAATTGAAATCGCCATCTATGTAAGTATACAGGGTGAGTAAACTCATATACCTCAA